CGTCTGAATGAAACAGCACACGAGCTTGGAGCATTTATAAGCTGGGTTGGAAACGGGGGAAAGAGCGCCTTGACAAATAGTTTGCATATCAAGAGGAATTTAGCATATTTATGGGACATGCAGGAATGTTATTAGTACTACATATGCAGCACGGGCATATGTAGTACTAATCACATTCCTGCATTTCCCATAAATATGCTAAATTCCTCTTGATATTGAAATTATTTTGTCAAGGCGCTCTTTCCCCCGCTTCCAACCCAGCTTATATATGCAGAATCACGAACATCATTGCTTTTGTCGAGTGCCAAGGAAAAATAGGAAAGTTTCTTTGTGGAGTTTTGCAAATGCTGATGCAAATTCGTCTCCCATTTCTTCAATCCTCCGTGTAATTGTAGGTCCTAAAAGACTCACTGTACTAAATAAATCGGCCTTCTCTGGACACATCTCTTTGGCAACAGAAAGAAGGCATTCTTTAACAAATTCTCCCTCCACGAATGGTCTGCCAGTGCATGCTATTAGCTTGGCAACTTGAAAACTTGCTCGCAGTGATGAAATATTTAGCTGCTTCTGCTTCACAAAACTATTTCGCTGAGTTGTTAATGTATTTTTCAGTTTTAATATTTTATCTTTTCTCACGTCTCCGACCAAACAAGCATATTTATCTTTATGTTGAGTTTTATAGTGTTGATGTAAATTGTATTCTTTGAACACAGACACTATATTCTGGCATATCAGACACACAGCTCTTTCCTTGTACTGCATGAAAAAGTAATCATAAGTCCACTGTTCTTTGAATATCCTACACTCCGAGTCAATTTTTCTCTTTCTTGACATCATTGTTTCCTAGGGAGTCAAAATTGCTATTAGTAAAATACTAATATATACAGCGCTACAAAAACAATATACCAGCAATAACTTTGCCCACACAGAGACATACAGACTGCACTGCCCATCAATGCAGTCTGATTGGGGGGAACTCCGCCCCCTCTCCCTCTTCCACCAATGACCGTCCTTCTCATGCAGAAAAAAAGTAACAGACAGGCAGCGGCGGCAAAAACACCCGGCGGGCCGGATAAATGTCCTCGGCGGGCCGCATGTGGCCCGCGGGCCGTAGTTTGAGGACCCCTGCTCTACATTATACACTACATACAACTTAAACAATGAAAATGCTGCATATATATACTTTGTCATGACTACCTTATTATGCTCATGAGTAGATTTTAGAATAATGCATGGATCAATAAAGAATTAATCAAGTGCTGCGATGTGCGGGAGTGAACATGCACTCAACACCGCCACCAAGTACTACCAACAGCACCGTCCGTTTCTCCACCATTTTTCTTACATCTGAGAGAGCGCCATCTAGTGGGCGCCAAGGGGTAACTGCACGAGCACTATCGGGTAACCGTCATCCAATCCTGAGCGGGGATTCTATCTGGGCCAAGGCTAACGGGCAGAGGCGGAGAAAACATTCGGGAACCATCGGGAAGGTTCCACGAGGGTTGCGTGGCTGGAGGCGGAGCTTAGCTCCGCCGGGAGGAATATCAGCAGAGAAGCCTCGAGTCTGGACCGCGTCACTGCTCAGCCTCTCTTCGCCATTGACCACGTGGTGGATCCCCAGCGAAGCTCGCCTCTCCTCCTCCCGGGCACGCCGCCAACCAGCGGCGGGATCGGAGAGAGAGGGAGGGGAAGCTCGAGGGTGGGATGAAGAGAACACCTCGTCCACGGCGGTGATAAAGAAGGAAAATACCGGAGGGAGAAGGAGCTGTGCACAAATTAAGTTAATAAAAGACAACATTCAAGAGTCGTCGTGGAAGTCGTTTATTACACATGTTATAGAGATGTATATGGCAGTGCCTTAATGCAAAGTGCTTAAAAACAAAAGTGAGTTATAGTGAGTAGTGTTGTTGTTTGACTTGCATCCCACTGGGATTTTTGCAAACTGCGTTGGTGTACGGTGTTTTTTTCTGCAATATGTTGCTGTCTTTTCTTGGATTTTCTGTTTGCACTTAGTCACATATTCACTTTAAGATGTTTTTTGTTCATGTTTTTTGTTTGTTGCGGTTGCACCCGATTCAAGAGCCGAATGGCTCACAGGGCTATACCTAAGAAATTAACTTGAACTTGAACACGCTAGACTCACGTTGTAGTGATTAGTCCGTCACACGCCAGACTCACGTTATAGTGGGGGCCGGTGCACGTGAAGCGAAAGACGTCCCATCAATGGAAAAAAACGTGTTAAAGTGAAAACGCGGAGTGTGAACTCCACGCGTTAAACGGGGACTTGCTGTCCTAGCCAGCTCCTCTAGCGCACCCATGCCCGGCCACACATTTGCTCAAATCGTGCGGAACGGCAATTGGGGCACGTGCTCTAGCAGTGTGGCCTGCACTCTCAAAATGTAGATGTGGATGTTGAACTTCTTTCGCACCGTATGTAGCCCACCCGTGACCCGAGTTCGACTCCCACTCACGGCCAACACCAGTGACGAGTATCTGCACCGCACGTGGGCCTCCCCTAGATCTTCCCCTAGATCGACTCGGCCTCAAATGAGTACCTGTGGAGGGGAGTAGAGTGCATGGCTCAGCGGTGTGTATTTAAACATCAGCGTGTGAACCTGGGTCCAATCCTGCACGTTGTGTCCAAATGACTTGCTGTGACCCGTGCAGTTGACAAATCGTTCAGTGCCTTAATGTGGGGGGGGGGGGGGGATAAATGGGTGAGAAAGGATAGAGCGTGGAGGAGAGTAGAGTGAGATGAGAGAGGAGAGTTGGGAGAGTGTGTGGAGGGTAGAGTGAGTTGAGAGGTAGGGGAGTGTGTGGAGGGGAGTAGAGTGAGATGAGAGGTAGAAGAGTGCGTGGATGGGAGTAGAGTGAGATGAGAGGTAGGGGAGTGTGTGGATGGGAGTAGAGTGAGATGAGAGGTAGGAGAGTGTGTGGATGGGAGTAGAGTGAGATGAGAGGTAGGAGAGTACGTGGAGGGGAGTAGAGTGATATGAAAGGGGAGAGGCAGAAGAGTGTGTGGAGGGGAGTAGTGAGATGAGAGGTAGGAGAGTGTGTGGAGGGGAGTAGAGTGAGAGGTAGGGGAGTGTGTGGAGGGGAGTAGAGTGAGGTAAGAGGTAGGAGAGTGTGTGGAGGGGAGTAGAGCGAGTTGAGAGGTAGGAGAGTGTGTGGAGGGGAGTAGAGTGAGATGAGAGGTAGGGGAGTGCGTGGAGGGGAGTAGAGTGATATGAGAGGTAGGAGAGTGTGTGGAGGGGAGTAGAGTGAGATGAGAGGTAGGGGAGTGTGTGGAGGGGAGTAGAGTGAGGTGAGAGGTAGGGGAGTGTGTGGAGGGGAGTAGAGTGAGATGAGAGGTAGGAGAGTGTGTTGAGGGGAGTAGAGTGAGATGAGAGGTAGGAGAGTGTGTGGAGGGGAGTAGAGTGAGGTGAGAGGTCGGGGAGTGTGTGGAGGGGAGTAGAGTGAGATGAGAGGTGGGGGAGTGTGTGGAGGGGAGTAGAGTTAGATGCGAGGTAGGGGAGTGTGTGGAAGGGAGTAGAGTGAGATGAGAGGTAGGAGAGTGTGTGGAGGGGAGTAGAGTGAGATGAGAGGTAGGAGAGTGTGTGGAGGGGAGTAGAGTGAGATGAGAGATAGGGGAGTGCGTGGAGGGGAGTAGAGTGAGATGAGAGGTAGGAGAGTGTGTGGAGGGGAGTAGAGTGAGGTGAGAGGTAGGAGAGTGTGTGGAGGGGAGTTCTCTTTTTAACTTGGTATCTCGGTTTGATGTTGTAATTGAACTGAGAAAGTGGTGGTGGAAGTTGTGGTCCGGTGCTGTCCTTTGGGTTTGAGCCTTCTCATGAGAAAGTAAAGTTTTTCTTAATCCCAACCAGAAACTACACCAACCGCATACACTCACAAAAATCCTGAACCGAGATCTGTGGGTGTGAGAGATGTCGATTTTTTTTTTATTATTAAAAAAACACAATTGGACCTGATATTTTCCACGGATACAAAAATTGTTTTAAGTCGCCCTTTGCCACGCAATCAATTAACCCGACTCCATCTGACAGCTACACCAGATTCAGCCCCCACAAAGCGAACGCAGCAACAGATAATTACCTATATTCTTTGGTTCTTTCGGTAAAGTCACGAAGGTAGAAACAACAATAGATCACGACGTTTCGATCGCAACAACAAGCGACCGTCTTCAGGTGAGAGAATCAGACTTCTGTGGACGAGGCATTATATTGGCCCGAGAGGGGGAGGGAGGGAGAGGGGGAGGGAGGGAGGGGGGCTGCCACATCGCGCAAGAGGGTGGGGCCAGCGATTGTGAGGAACCTGTGAGCATGAGAGTGCAATCCAAGAGGAAGGACGTTATTAAGCAGGTAAAGTCTTAACTGACTGTGATGTTTCCATCCTACTTGCCTATGTCAGCTGTTATTTACGACTCTCTGTCTCTCTCTCTCTGTGCATCTCTCTTAGAGCTCTCCCCCAATGATTCAAGTGCTGCTGCAGAGTCGCATTTTCTACCCCCCCCCCTTTTCTCTCCCCCCTACAGCCGATAGTTAGTCTACGTGCAGTGTTAGTCTACGTGCAGTGTTAGTCTACGTGCAGTGTTAGTCTACGGGTTAAACGTAGTGCTATGTCCTTAGCCGATCTTGGCCCAGCGTGGCTCAAAAACTCAACAAATGAATGTGAACATTTTATTTACCTTGTGGCTACCAACCTTCAGATCGACGACTTTCTTGAGGTTTTTTTTTGTGGTCATGTTTCAAGAAACAGTTTCAGTTCGTGCTTCACCATCGGTACTTTTTCCGAGTTACGGGGAATCACCGGTCCATTCCACAGCACCCCCCCCCCCTCACTCGCCCCCCCCGCAACATCTCCCATATATTTAGAGCGATTGGGGATCATTCGACTCCTCGCCTGTCCCGCTGGAGGCGTCAGGCACACACCCTCTTCGCTGGTCCGTGCATCTTGACACGAAGGTCCTCCATTACTTTAGTTTGACAGGCAGAGCGAGTGGCACCATGGACCACGCTGGGTTGCTGGATCCCGTCTCGACGATGCAGCTGCTGCTGCTGATGCTGCTGCTGCCTCTCAGGTGAGACCGATCTTAAATGGGCGCCACGGTGGCTATGAGATGTTAGCTGCCTCGCCTCGTATACAGGAGGTCGTGGGTTCGATCCCGACCCTGACGCCTGTTGTTTATTTGGAGGTTGCATGTGTGTCAGAGTCTCATCATCATCATTGTGGCCTTGAGATGTCAACTATCTTGCCAGGCATACAGGAGGTTGTGGGTTCGATTCCGACCCGGATGCCTGCTGTACATTTAGAGTTTTAGTGTCACGCATTTAAGAATATCTGGCTGCTATAAATGTCCACGTGATGATGAGCCACTTCGTTGCGATATCATTTGAGATCGCCAGGTCACTTCTGAAAAAGAGCTGCATGGCTCAATTGGCCTTCCACCTGGTACAATAAAAATAGCTTCGTTTTTAGTTTAGTTTAAATGACACCTGGCGCAGCGGTGAGCGCTCTGCACTGTGAGTCTGGTTTATACCCGGGTTCGATTCCTGGCCACGGATGACGTCATTGGCGACTGATAATTATCAATCCTATCTTCCAGCGTAGTGAAGTATGGTTGAACGGCCCTCACAATCAACGTGGCACGCGGAGACCTTATCCGGCCGTGGATTCACAAAAGACTGTAAATTACTCTCATCATTCGCTGTCAGAGCTGGACTTTTTCCAGAAACCAATATTAATGTCATTGGGTTTTTTTTATGAGCCATATTTTCTAAGCGTGACAATTTTCTCAAAGGAGGTAACAATGTCACGAATATTATTGGTTCTTTCAGTAAAGTCACGTAGAAGGGAAATAATAAAATAATATTTTATTTCTAATATTTATATTATTTTATTATTTCCCTTCTACGTGACTTTACCGAAAGAACCAAGAATATGAATCCCTGCAGTCACGAAAGCTATAAATCAAAATGTCACGAATCTTCCTCACCGGAGACAATGCAATAGTCGGATATGTATCTTCTTCTTCTTTGGCTGTCCATCGCAAGTGTTGTTGGCTGCGAAGAACAGCGAAGCAGTTCCATTTTTTCCTGCGCCCCGGTGCGATGAGGGAGTCCAGCCCTTGGAGCGGAAGCATCGGCCGCACTGTGGCCAAGAGTTTGCTGCTCGTCTGCTGAATGGGATTCGTGCCGTCGCGGCTGGTGTTGACGATGCCGCGAGGGCTTTTGTCCTCGTTTTCTTCAACCGACTTGGCCGAGTTGGCTGACAGCATCCACTTTCTCCACTGCTCACGGTTGGCTGACATTTCCTCCCCACGTGTCCCAGACATTGATATTGGGCTGCCTCGATGTGTCTGTCTCTGGACGCCTCTGTTAGCACAGTTCATGGCCACCAGGAACACGCTTTGCGTGCCCTCTTTTGAGTGCACCGTGACAAAATATTTTAGGAAGCCAATGTTCTGGCGTTACGTTTCTCTGGCCATCCCAACTGAGAGAATGTACAACTCTTGCCTCGACACTGGGAATTCTCGCTCTCGCCAGATACTAAGCGTGGCATTTGCACCACCACCACACACACACAGATGATGCGCGTGGGCGGTCGATTGGTCAGGACCGACAGGTGACGGTCGTTGGGGCATAAGACGTTGTCCCTTCACTGTGTGCTGATCTTAAAGGTGCATTGAAAAATGTTGACACTCCGACTGATTCTCCTGCTGTTGTGGAGTGACTCGTGCAGCCAGCTATGGCTGCAAAGTTTGGTAATACATGTTGTTAACGTCGTTTATTGTGAAAATTCGGTCACAGTTCCTATGATCACTATTTCATTGCTTTTATGGCTTTATTTTGGTGATTTTAAAAAAAGTTTTTCGGTTTGGCCATGTTTGTTTGTTGTAGTACATAGTTACTGATGGCCTTAATCTAAGTTGTCTTGTTGTTGTTGTTGTTGTTTGACTTGCATCCCAATGGAATTTTTGCACACAGTGTTGGTGTACGGTGCCTTTTCTGCAATATTTTGCTGTCTTTTCTTGGATTTTCTGTTTGCATTTAGTCACTTTAAGATGTTTTCTTGTTCATGTTTTTGTTTTTTTGTTTGTTGCAGTTGCACCCGATTCAAGAGCCGAATGGCTCACAGGGCTATACCTAATAAATGAAACTTGAAACTCGGCAGTGGCACAAATCCCTCAATGTGACGTCGTAATGGTCGCCATCGCCTCTCCTGCAGCTGCAGCCAATACGACGATGCCCACCATGACGGGCCAATGGACTCCATTCCCAGCAATGCGGAGCTGATGCAGAGCCAGACGTTCACGGACATGGAGAAACTCATGAAGAACTTCCGCAGATACAACAGCATGATCCGACCCAACTACCGAGGTCAGTGCGAGAAGAATAAAGAGCTGAAGGTTACGACCCTACGATTGCCTCCTCCTCCACTAGAGGGAGTGCTGCAGAGTACCGGAAGTACTGCAGCGTACCGGAAGTACAGGATCAATCCGTTTGCAATCCGTTTGAACGACAATGCATCATACACTACCAGAGCATGTGATTTGTTTGCATGTTCACCACAAGTATGTGTGGTTAAAGCAGACGATTACTTGCAAACGGTTTCAGTTTGGTATTTTAACATCTTAACACCTCCTGTATTATTGCCAGAAAGGTGAAAAGCTATTCTTATACAGCAAGTCCTCGTTTGACGCGCTAGATGCGTTCCTGAAGCATCTGTGTGTGATGGTGCAAACACTATTGTTTGTACATGTACGTGTATCACAAATCGGACACGTTCACATCCCCGACGATTGCTTTGTCTCCGTCAGGCGCGGTTCGTCCACTAGGGGGCGCTGCCCCACCAAGCAGTTGGAGATGAGGTCTTTTTTCTAATCAAAAAAGACTTTTCTATTTAAAAAAATTGTTTAACATTTTTTTAAATTGTATAATAATTATTTCAACGTGAATTGCCTAATGGAGACAACATTTAAAGGCGTTCACATTAGAAACCGCTGCAGCACCGCAGTCTGATTTGTGCCTCGGGGGCGTCTCGGGGCGGCTGTGAAGGCGTCCGAGTGAGACATTGCCCTTCAGTCACTGCAGTTAGCTTCGCATTGTAGCCGTGCCGTTGGAGACCCATTCAGGGCGGTGAAAAAGGCGCCCATGGCTGTAATGAGACGATGTCACAACGCGAGGTTGCACTGTGCAATTATAGAAGCGCACGGCCTACACGCTCTAGGAGGAAACAACAGCAATGTCTATGGCAGCAGGTGTGTGCTGTGGCAGAGGTCGCAAACGGGTTTTGATTCCTGACCCGTACCCGTACCCGGCCGCACCAGGGTCGCAATCGGGTACCCGTACCCCACCCGATACCCGGCTACCCGTACCTGGCCGGGTATCGGGTAGGGTACGGGTACCCGATTGCGACCTCTGGGATGAAGCCATGTTGCAGGTGCAGGTGGGTTGATTCTAGGAACTTGAATTGTGAGAAGAGACAAGACGTTGGGAAATGAGTGACAAACGGTGACTCACCAGTGACTCACGGCCTACCCGTACCCGTACCCGGCCGCACCAGGGTCGCAAACGGGTACCCGTACCCGGCCGGGTACGGGTAGCCGGGTATCGGGTAGGGTACGGGTATCGGGTACCCGGTTGCGACCTCTGTGGTGTGGGTTTGATGGTCATGGGGATAGCATTGGAGTGCTTCGTTGTTTTGTTTAGTATTGTTTATGAATGCCTACCGTTGGTAGATAAGACAGTTATATCACTTTTATGGGACGTCCAATAACATGACGAGGCTTTTCTTAATTAGAACACCGTCTTTTCAGAGGTCACTCACAACAGCCCCACCTCGTGGAAATGTCACGAGCCGCCATTGATTAACATTGTGACCTCCTTTGAGAACATTTGTCACGCTTATAAAAAAAAAACAATGCCTATACCGAAATAGCAACATAAAATCTAACCAGAAAAAATTATAGACAGACATATAAACCCAGAGAGAGAGAAAAAAGGTAAACTTGGAACTTCCCCGTAGAAGTGGTTCAATCTTAACTTCTCTCTCTCTGGGTTTTAATTCTCTCTCTCTGCCTGTTTATTTAGTGTAAAATTTTCTGTCTACACTCGTTTTTTGTCGTTCTTAGGTTCTGCTTTGTCTCCGTTCCTCTTGTTTTTATGTTTTGTCTTTCTTTGAAATTTTCACACTTAAATTCTAGCTTAGCAATGTTTGAAATCCGTAATCGACCAGGCTATGTGTTAATTGTGTGTTGACCGACTCTCTGTGTCGTTTTACATAAAATTTCGATACTTTGCTAGGTAATTTAATTTTAGTGTGTCTCTTTCTCCCCTAAGCCTGCTCACTCCTTTTTGGTGCACTCATTGACATGTAAATTTTGTCTCTAACCCCTCCCTCTCGCTTGCCTCCGCCCCCCTCTGTCTATTTAAGGCCACCCCACAGAGACGATCACCCCTCTCTGTACCTGTGTTGCCCGCTGTGTGTATCTTGGTGATATCTGTCTGCTTACATGTCTGTCTATAAATTTTTCTGGTTAGATTTTATGTTGCTATTTCATTATACCTGATGATGATTGCTTGTGTTGCAATCGAAACGTCGTATGTTATTATTTAATTTATTATTTTTTCTTTATACGTGACTTTACCGAAAGAACCAAATAATAATTCCTGCAGTCACGAAAGCTCCAACGTTAAGAATGCCTATACCCCTGGGCTTTCCCGAACTCGCTCACGCAACTCTGAAACATGCAAGACTGTGGGTGGGCGTTCCGCCTTTCACATCTGCAGATCCCACGGAGTGGAATGCACTCTGCCCCCTGTGTGCCATAGTCAGTGTCTGAGGGTAATCAACAATCGCTCAGGCAAGTGCAGCAGTTTCTTCAGTCCCAGTGCAAAAAAGTTAAAATCACAGTTCCTGGTGCAAGATTCACAGTAACAAAGGCTCAGCTCCGGCTGATCGAACCCCACATAAAACACCCAGATCTTCCCAGAAGAACTCCCAGAAATTTAAAGGGCTTAAATCCTTGCACCACTCTTTGCAGCTGGTCAATGTTCTTGCTGGGTGCATGGTCGTGGATGGCAATATTTTAGTTTATCGGTAGTCGTTTATTCATCTCGTTTTTTCATCTCTCTAAACTTACAGATGGACCCACCATCGTGAACGTCAGCATGACTGTCAAGAACATAGCCTCCTTCGACGTCTCAAACATGGCGAGTATTTAAAAGGCACACAGACACACACCGGGTATCATTTTTGCCATGAAAAAATGCGGTAGTTTTAAAAATTAATATAGTCAAATTTTGGCAGTTGTATTGTTGTTGTTGTGACACCGCTAACATTGCAATCAATCCCACTAAGAGGAAGATAACAGAAAAGCTATTCAGAAACAATAGCAAAAAGAGCTGGAGGAGGAGGAGGCTGCATTTGGGCGTCAACACTGATGTCCGGTAGAGCGGCGTCTGTTTTCACAGTGGGCGGTGGCGGGCAGAGGCGATGGATTCACAATGGGGGGCTGCCACACGGAAGCCACGTGATACACGGGAGGCTTGAGCTGGTGAAGATAGAAATGTGCTTGAGCTGATTACAGTCTGTGGGCTCCTGATGTACACGTCATTGGTTTAAACGTGCGACTTCCACATGCGATGACTTGTTACGTTCATCGCAAAATATCACGTGGTGATGATGACGCTGATGATTGCCTCATCTTCACATGACATCATTCCCCCTATTTCATCATCCCATTGTTCCCTCGTCATGTTCCCATCACTTCCATTCACCCCCCAACCCCTCTGCATCTCCCCCCCCCCGCCCCTGCCCCCGCATCAACAAACCAGGAATATAAAATGACCATCTTCCTGGTCCGCCAATGGATGGATCACCGTCTCCACCTCCGTCGCAAGTGGTCTGGAAGAGAGGGTTATATCGACATACCCAACGCGGCTGCAGTAGGCTACCTGTGGAGGCCGACCGTGTTCTTCAACAATGAAAAGAACTCCGTGGTCCACTCGGTGACGGCACCCAACACCATACTGAAGGTTTACAACGACAGCAGAGTCGTCTACTCCATGAGGTGAGCGCACGCTCGCGACATTCCCCTTCGAGCACCGCAGGGCCAATCCGATCTTTTGTGAATTGTCTTTGTTGGCGATTTTCATCCGGATTTCTGCCTCCGCATCCCCACCGCTCCGCGAGTTTTCTCCCAAATAGCAGTGCGACCCTTCGTGAAAAGGAGAGACAGCCACCCGAAGCCGATTTACAGCTACCTACGAGTTCTCCACAAGCGACCTTTCGTGACTGCAAGGATTCATACTCTTAGTTCTTTCGGTAAAGTCACGTAGGCAGCAGCGGTAGCAGCAGGCCCACACCTGTTCTGCTCCACAGAGGAAAGTGTGTGTCCCATCAAAGCCATCTGATTTCAATGTGATGGTGGACGCGTTGTTGTTTGTGTACAATTTCAGCCCAGTGACCCGGGGCTGTGATCATCAATTCACCATGAACTATGAACCCAGTGTAGAGTAATAGCACTGGCAGCTGACTGAAAGTGGTAACTTCCGTGTACAGCAGTACACACGTCAGCAGGCGACAGTTATCCACGGGGGGAAGACAACTAGGGCAGAGTTCATGGAGGGGTTCATCTGGAAGCCCCTGGAACCTGCTAGTAGGTTCCAGAAGGGGGGTGTGGCCATGGCGGAGCAAGGGCACGCCGGGAGCATAAGAGGCAGCCCTGAGCGAGAGCTCGGGGCTGTTGCTGGAAATCTACCCCCTTGCCATGCTACTGTTCGCCAACATCGCCGCCGCCGTCTTCACCATCGCGGGACGCCGCTAGCTAGACAGCCGACTGTTCTAGTTAGATAGTGCCGCCGGCGATAGACGGTTGTGTGTGTAATATATATAAGTGTACACCCACGTAGGGTGTGTATAGTCCCCATTGTGTGTGATAATAAAAGGTGACTCCCACTACTACTGTCTCCGAACTGCGTCACTACAACAGTTGAATCGTAGGAAAAACATTTTATGGATTCGAATCGCAGAGATTTCAGCGGTGCAGCTCAGGGTTCTTACCACATGGCCATCTCCGCTCATCCACTTTACACGACAGATGCTCAATTCCACTTTGTCGCCATTGGCTACTCTGCTCAGGGTTAACCAGAAAGAAAGAAAAACTTGGCCATGATCAGGAATCAAACCGAGGTATATGTGTCCAGAGCACAGTGGATGAACTAAGTCAATATTTGCATTCACATTTATAGACAGGGGAGGATTTTCCACACAACTCAGACATGACTTCAACCGAGAATATGGATGCAAATCTAGCAATCTTTGGAAGGACGTTGATCAACCAGGTATAGTGTTCACTGTTGTGTTGGCCGACTATCTGAGTTGCATTACATTTCTAAAATTTCTCAGTTTTTTTTCTCACTCTCACCTTGTTCCCTCTTTGAATTTCACCCCCACCCTCTCGCCCGTTGCGGGAGCCCCTCATTTGTGGTGACCTGAAACTCTCCCACTCCGACGGGTTCTTGTGGTAAAATCAACGGCGACCTCGCCGAGATTATCGACAGACACGATTTAACCCGGCAACGTCAGCGGTACGACACGTTGCTCGGGGAATATACCGGATCACATCTTCTCATCCGCCGATACGTAACTGTAACCGACGTTGTTGTCGAAGACGTGGGTATTTCAGATCACAGCCTCGTGACGTGCACAGTGGCATTGCTGATTATTCGCCGACCGGTCACAAGGATATCATACAGAGACAGGAAACGACCAGCCCACGATGCTTTCCGTCAGAAGATCCGGTCGTCATTGACGTGTCTACATCCTGCATCGACGGTCGATTCATTTGCAGCTCAATTAGAACACGACATCGCTGCTGTTCTTGATGAACTCGTGCCCATCCGAACAACGATCGTACAAAGAGAATGGGGAGAGCGCGCAGTAGCCGGCTGTCACCCGAGGCGATCACTGCAAAACAGATGCAGAGGAGACTGGATCTTTCAGATGCACTTCTGCGGCTGTCTGGAACGCTCTTTCTTGCAATATTAGTGTAATAAAGGTCGTGTAAGCGACTTCTGGAATCAGGGTCTTTATTTGTCTTTCGTTCACAACACTCCTCATATAAATTCCACTCCTGTCTTACTCCTTCACGCTGCTAACAGACAGCGTGAGAGGGATAGAGAGATTCTTGCTGCTACGTGGCACGCCTGGACCCCGCTCCTGCGTGGCCTCACCCTTCGTTCGTTCCAGATCTGACCACGTGTTGTCCGTCTCCCACCCCCCCCCCCCCCCCTTTTAATACCCGGGTCACGCGGTACCTTTCCACCAGTCCTGGTTAACCTCCATGGAATCTTCCAGACTCCATCGTACGATCTCAGGACCATGCCCCTGACTCGTCCCCCCATTGGCTGTGGCTAAAGCCAGCAGATCCAATCATCTACTTGCAGATGTCACCTTCCCATTACGTCAGGGCCACGCCCCTAGACTTCTCCCCATTGGCTATGGGCCAGGACCGGTAGAGCCAATCATCGTAACGAGGTGTGATCAATCAACCACCCGGATATACCCTCACATTACATTAGGAAGCCACTGGAGCTATACACTTTGAAATCTCGATTGAAACCCCATTTCTTTAGAACTGATTTTTGCGTTTATATTTGTTGTCCATCATCCGCACCTCCGATAAGCACAGTTGGCTACGTACAGTGTGAAATAAGTTCAACATACATACAACTAGCAGCAAGTAGATATGTCATTCGGACTTAGTGGCGAATACCAGTTGTTGTTTCATACTCGTGGTATGTGTCACCACGTGTCTCATGCTGATCTTTGCGCGTGTCCACGTGTCCCAATGTGTGTTTGTGTTGCAGAATCACGCTAACCCTCAGCTGTCCCATGTACATCCGAAACTACCCCTGGGATATCCAGTTTTGCCCCATGACCCTCACCAGTGGTAAGTCACACGAACAAAAGCCCGGGGTTCATGCCAGAATTAAGTTCAGTGGGCCATGAATCAGATATCGAAGTTAGCAGGTCACGGGTAACAATTCAAGGCCAATTGGGGATTCCTCCTGCATTGTAAACAAAACAAATCTCCGCGTGGGCTTGATAGAGGCCATTTGTAAATGTTATTTCTGGCAGCTATTTAACACAAAACTATTTCTGAATGTACTGAACACTGATGACTCTCACAAGTCCACAATGAGGACCAAACTAGCCTACGCTTGTCTCTCTGCTGACTGATGGGACGGCCACAATGTACAACTCTGTGCAGTTGGTGGAACACACAGCAACACAGTCACTCTCAGCTCTCTTGGTAGCGGGGTTTGCCCAAGACTAAAATTATTTCGTAATTGCAATGTGGCGGTCGCGTGATAATGCGCGTAATGCCTTCCCACTGCCTGTGAGGACATCTTTGCCTAGTGCGGTAAAAACAACCCCCCACCTCCAAGATGGGGGCAGTCGGAAACAATGTGGTGACTGTGAGCAATGCCACTGAGGGGAAGCCGATTCCAATCAGCTGTTCCCCTCGTGACAGTCGTAAACGTCAGTGGCCAACGAGGGCTCTGGACAGTTGCGAAGGGCAGATGACCCCTCCAGGTTCAATTAAAGTGTATGCAAAACCACAATTTGAAGATAAAGCTAAGCTTGTTCAGGAGGCACTGAGGGTACAGGCGACTTTGAAATCTCCTTGTCAAATCCCATTTGGTGGAGCCAGGAGACTGAATCCCAACACTCAGGATTCCTCCAGAAATGGCAAAAAGCCACTGCGAGTGGCCACGTGGAATGTTCAAATTCTCACTGCCTCTCTTCTGTAAGTAGCTGGACTAGTTCTGGCTCCAGTCACTTTGAGGGGTGGATAGTCCTCGACTCGGGGTAGGAAACTGCCAAACACGAACAAATGAATGGAGGCGACGTGGGAACATGACGGGGAAGTGTGGTAAGCTATAAGTCCCAGGCTACTGTGGGCTCACCTCCCCACAATAGGAGGTGAGGATTAGTGGAGGGATGCTGACAATGCCAAATAATTAATCAGATGCCTTCTATGACCTCCTGTCCCAGGTACGAGATAAAAAGTGGTCACTCAGAATAGAGTGATCCTGTCGGGTAACTTCAATGCCCGAGTGGGACATGACACCAGGCACCTGGGCTGGAGTGATTGGAAGGCATTGGCGAGATCAGAGAGTGGAGATGTTTCCATACCTGAGCAGTGTCCTTCTGACCAGCTCCAGTTTGACAGACATTTATGGAGAGTGTCGGATTTGAGTAATAATCACGTCGTGGTAACCCTAATGATGTTGCGGTCACCCATACATCCTGTCACTCCTAATATTACCACCCTCTGTCGTTGTTGCATGTGGCGGCTGTGCGGCCCAGCCAGCTACACGGCGAACGAAATGTTTCTGCAATGGGACAAGGACGAACACCGCATGATCGCCAAGGACATCAGCATCCTTCCGTTGGTTGTCGAAAACATCACGCTGTCCGACAACTGCACATACACTGAAATCATCGGTAAATCTACCCCAGGCCATAAGTATAATCCTAACCCTGTCCCTCAACAAGTGAACCAGGATGTTTACCGATCAGGCCAATGGAATCGCGATCAATTCTAGCAAGGCGGTGCGAGTGGACTCCGTCGATAAACTCTATTGCCATGAATGTGTGTAGCATCACATTTACGTGTTTTGGAGGTTCTCAGTAAATGTTTTCCGATGACAAAGCGGGTCGCTTTCAGAGAATCAATCCGCCCCTGCGACTTTGCCCACCACACCCCCGCCCCCCCCCCGGCTAATTCGCCGCCCCCTCCTCTTCCCCCGGCACGGAGTTTAAGGCCATTGTGGTGCACTCGGGGTTACGTTCTGCATGAGCCGTGCCCTTGAGTCGCGGCTGCTTGCCATGTGCCCTGGCCACAGGTCGCGTGCTCCTGGTGGGACCCGGGGCTGGAACTCCGAGGACACGTGCGGTGGACGCACACCGACACCTTGCAGAGAGTTGTTTTGACGTTGATTTACACTTTCAAACCCCCTCCACCTCGAAGCCACTGGATAAATCGATGATTTCTTGCTTATCTCAAGTCGAGCCTATTGTTAGATATCTTACTAACGTTGAGTCTTAACTCTTACCTACCTTCCTCCAAGGAAACCTATCGTGCCTGAACATCACATTCAAGCTGTGTCGGAGAATGAGCGCCTCTGACCTGCAGATGTACGTGTCGAGCGGCCTGCTCTCCTTCCTGTCCTGCATCGCCTTCCTAATCCCCGTGGACAAGACGCCAGCGCGGGCCGGCATCGGCATTACCACGACCATCTCGGTGATCACGCAGTGCGCCAACGCTCATGCCAACATGCCCAAGGTACCTGCAGCCTGCGCTCGAGCACAGACACTCACAACGACAAAAAACGATATACGCTGAAGTCGTCATTTTTCTCTGTCGAGCCCATCACAAGGTTGGCACGCACACAACCACATCACCTGTAGGACTCTGCAGTAGAAGCCCTCCTCCTAGCGACGTTCATTGGTTCCACGCAACCGGTCGTTTTGATTTGGTCATTAGGCGAGTATAGGAAAAAAACGATAAAGGCTTGATTCGTTCCAGTAGCATCGAAAGTTACCCCTTTTGTCACCTAAAAAACGTACTTTATAATATAAAAAATGGATATTGATACGTAAAGATACTGACAACATTATAAAAACACATCCTATTAAAAGAAACATCGTTAATCAATACATGAATTCATATTTATTGTACCTACAACAGCCCGTCATTAACAGGGGAATGGTCGGTAAGCGAACATATTGGGCTCTATGGAGGTCCATTGTTAAGCGATTAGTCGTTAACAGGGGCGGTCATTAACAGGGTTTCTACCCTGCACTGTACTTTTATACACTACAACAACAACCGCCATTCGCCACTAAGTGGCGGTGACGTCACCACGACGCTTGTGCCAGGCCATGTGCACCTTGATGCCACGTGAAGCGTTGAACGCCCGCTACACAATACACTACTATACACGACACTACTATACACTACACTACTATACACTACACTGCTATACACTACACTACTATACATGACACTACTATATACTACACTATACACTACACTACTATACACTACACTATATACTACACTATACACTACACTACTATACACTACACTATACACTACACTACTATACACTACACTACTATACACTACACTACTATACACTATACTATACACTACACTATACACTACACTACTATACACTACACTACTATACATGACACTACTATATACTACACTATACACTACACTATACACTACTATACACTACACTACTATACATGACACTACTATATACTACACTACTATACACTACTATATACTACACTACTATATACTACACTACTATACACTACACTACTATATACTACACTATGCACTACTATACACTACACTACTATACACGACACTACTATATACTACACTACTATACACTACACTACTATACACGACACTACTATATACTACACTACTATACACTACACTACTATACACGACACTACTATATACTACACTATACACTACACTACTATACACTACATTACTATACACTACACTACTATACACTACACTACTCTACACGACACTACTATATACTACACTATACACTACTTTACACTACACTACTATATATGACACTACTATATACTACACTACTATAAACTACACATTGGGCTCTTTAGAGGCCCGTGGTTAAGCGATTAGTCGTTAACAGTGGCGGTCGTTAAGAGTTCTACTGGACTGATTCAGTCAAAGTATGCTTGGAGGCTCTTATTGGCGAGTTCCAAGAGGGCGTGCCTTGATTTTTGACAATGGCTGTCTCAGAACAGAGTCTCAAATCCCGGAGGAAATTCCTCTTCAGTTTGTCCATTTACTTTGAAGTACCCTGTGAGCTAAGAAGCTCTGAAGTCGGGTTTCATCAATACACCGTTTCCGTGACACAACGGGGATTGATTGCAAGTGTTAATATTCTAGAACCACGCCCGAATCACTTTATTTATTAAATTATAAAAAATATCGTCCTTAAATACTAAACTCTTAACTGTGAATATATTTACTATCATAAAAACATCAGCAGAGCATTAACATTACTTAATCCCTACCAGTTAATATTAAAATAACAATGATACTAATAATTAAACAGTTATATTTATCTGTGTTTTAACGGAGCTGTTAATCTGTGTTCCCCTGTCCAGCATCCACCCGAATCTGAATAGGTGCCCTGTACCCTGAATTGATTAATCTACTGGTAGGCGTGGCCTATTGTGCTCTCACGTGACTCTATGGGTCCATTCCATGGTCACTATTTTCATTCACAATTATACTTGTGGTTTATTTACATGAAGCCCATACCGGCTACTTATAGTAGGATTCCTTATGGGGTAAACTAATAAAAGTGGCTCTTCTCATATTCTTGTCGTCAGAGTCATTACAGTAGTATATAATAGTGTAGTGGATAGTGTAGTGTACGTATGGTGAACTTATTTCGCACAGTACGTAGCCGAACTGTGCTCATCGGATGTTACAGGCTACATGGGGGATCTTTGTCTTTCTGTGTGTGGGTGTGCACATGTGTGCCTGGGTCGTGCAGGTTTCTTACATGACAGCCATGGACATCTGGATGTTGGGGTGCCTCTCGTTCATCGTCTGCACCTTCATCGTGAACATTTTGGAGACTTATTTTTGCCACAACAAGAAAGACAATTCAGCACAAACAGAAGACGTAGGTCAAACGCAAGCTGTAAGTAGCAACAGCATGGAGTAGGAAGTCACGGCCAATGGCCATGGTTACAAGCAGGCATCAGTGAATTGTTATCGTCTGCCCCTTCCATCGGTTCATGAGCAACTAAGGATCGTGGGCCATCTGATAACTCCCGTTAGTCTGTGCTGATTCAAACGGAGGATGAGCAAATCTACATAAACTCTCTCGTGCAGCGCTCTCGTCGTCGCTCGCGACATCTCAACATTGGCATAAATATCGTGAAAATATTGCAGAGATTGAGAGAGAGACCAACTCTGCTAACTTACACACATTGTTGTCATTCGCTGAATTAAAACCCCCAAATGAACATAGACCCACATGGTGGCATTCTTCTTCCGGACTTAGAAGAAGAAAAACAAAATCTCCTGCAGCCTGTGCACTTATCGCGGGTTATCGGAGCCACTCGTCAGGAGCTGTGCTTCCCGTGTAATCCGCCAATTTATTGCAGGATTGAAGGAGTTGGGCAGCTCCATCCTCCCGCAACCCGCGGCATTGCCACGGCAGTGCAATTTTTGTCGTAGAGTTCTCGGTCTCAACCTCTGCAGTGCACCGCAACATTTACAGTACATTCCAATACCATCCCCTCCCGTATCAATGTGGATTATTGTGGTTCTGTGTTTTAATGCATTGAAGCATCGGACAGCAGGAGGATGACCACAGCTTTTGATCTGCTGGAGATGACTATTGCGTTTCCCCCGTGGACAGCAATAAGGACCGACCTACGCTTACTACAGGGGATTGATACGGATCGATTCTTGTATAATGGCAATATTTCCAGGAGCTAAATGTAGAATGTTAAGGTCTGCTGGTCACGAAGAGAGGTTTATCGGAGAGATTTCGTGTATTTTCCTACTCCTCTGTTGAAAGAGCACAGATTACGGTGGATTGCTATAAGCGCCCTTGTTTGAGTTACATGGCCACAATCGTGCTACTGCCTGCGGCTTATCTTTAATTTCCCACTCACGAATAAGATCCACAACTGAGGTTTTTTGACTTAGATGGAAAATATTGGTCGCAAAAGCCTACGAATAAGATGCGGGCATCGGCCTAGTGATGGATGCTCTAATGTGGCTGAGGGTTACACCAGTGTGATTGAGGAATGTCAAAGCCAGGACACGTTCCGTGTTTGGGTTCTACAAACGTGGTTGTTTACTCTGGATGTCTGCTTTGTTCCAATTTGTTTGCCGAATGGCTCTTCCAGATCTGGGAGAAATTCTGGTGAATTGTGAATGCAATTCCCAGAAGGGAGAGTTCGGGATTGGGGTAGTTGCCAAGGTCTTTGCTTGATAACGGGTGGGTGGGTGTCTTCGGTAAAGGAAATCTGTACCTTCCTTGCACGTCTGTTATTTCAGTGGCAGAATTAGTTTGCTGAAAACGGTGGAAGTTTTTTTGACGAGATTGGTGAAGGGGCTAGACGGTGCTGTCTTAGTGAAGATTGAGGAAAACTAAAGAGAAATAGGCAGAGAGATTAGGATGGACAGATAGCATTGTGAATGTAACCGGGAGGAAAGAATATTGGAGTCATATTCTTGGTTCTTTCGGTAAAGTCACGTAGAATGGAAACAATAAAAATAATAAAATAAAAGATAATAAAATAATTCTCACGACGTTTCGGCCACAACGCAAGCAGCCGTCATCAGGTGAAGACCAGGTCTGTCGGGGAGACAGTGTCTGAATTAAACAGCACCTGAATGAAACGCTGTCTCCCCGACAGACCTGGTCTTCATCTGATGATGGCTGCTTGCGTTGTGGCCGAAACGTCGTGAGAATTATTTTATTATGTTTTATTTTATTATTTTTATTGTTTCCATTCGACGTGATGACTTTACCGAAAGAACCAAGAAGATGAATCCCTGCAGTCACGAAAGCTTTAAATCGAAAAATATTGGAGTCACTTTATCTGCGAGGTAATGAATGTTCAGGAATGAGCAGAATGATGCGAGTGTCAATGTCGTATGGAACCCCAGGATTGTACCAGCTATCCTGTCTGTCCTGTGAACTGTATTGGGAATGTGGCTGATGATGAGTCATGATGATGATGGATTATCATCATCATCATTATCCATGGAGTGTAAAATCACAACACTCTCCCGTCGGCGAATGACCGCCAATCATCAGCCTCTCAGTCGGAGGAAATGCCCGTACCATGTGCCCTGTGCATCAAGGGCCACTTCTTAAAATGTCTCCTAATTGCGTAAATTTTTTCTCTTTTAAGGCCACGTGCAGTGGTGTTATTGACCAATGCGTTGAGCTTTCGCTTCCGTAACGCGAGTGTCAATGCCCCGCAGGACGAAGAAGATTCCTCTCATTCAGGCTCAGCAGCTGCTCAGGAGGATGACGAAAACAGAGGAGGAGAACCCCCGATCGCCAGCAACTGTGACCGACTGGTAAGTGCTTGGCTTGTAGTGCATCCTGGCAGGCCACGAACCGACAGTTCAATCAACGGGCCATGGATTGTGGCCATGCAGCTCCCCCAAACTCTGCACCACACAGTAAACCCATGAAGACACATGGAGATGCACAGAGACACTTTCAAGTTGAGCCACAGGAGTGTGATTGTGGCCCATTGGGCACCACAGTGGCAAATGTTAACAACCTCGCCTGGTATACAGGAGGGTCGTGGGTTCGATCCCGACCCTGATGCCTGCTGCTGTATATTTGGAGTTTTTGCGTCTCTCTCCCCATGGTTTCATAGATTTTTTTCCGGGTTCCTTTGGATGTACCCTCCATTTAGAATCATCATCGCGCGTTTAGAGTATTTGGCTGCTGCTATACATTTGTGATAAGAGCCTATGTCCGGCTCACGTGGTGATCGGCTCTGCCGGTCCTGCTTTACAGCCAATGGGGGGAGAGCCTGGGAGCATGGCCCTGGCGTGATCGAGGGGTGCCAGCTAGGGTGATTGGTTCTGCTGGTCTTGGCCTCAGCCAATGGGAAGACAAGTCAGGGGCGTGGTCCCGGGAGTTGATGGGGAATCTAGAAGATTCGGCGCAGGCTACCAAGGATTGGCTGGAGCGTACCACGTGACCCAGGCATTAAATAAGGGGAGAGATGAACGACACGTGGTCAGACGAGGAATGAAGAGAGAGAGGGGCCACGCGCGAGCGGGGCTTCGAGTGCCATGTGGCGGTGCGTCTCTTGTGGTCTGTCTGCCCACTTCCCGTTGCCTGCCAGCAGCGGGGAGTACTTGTGAACTGGAATAAATAAAAGGACCGATTCCACAAGTCGTCTCCAAGAGTATTAGTACACATTTACACGTGGTGACAAGCCACTTGGTTCAGCCATCATTTGTGATAGACAGGTCGCTTCTGATAAAGAGCTAGATAGCAGCTCAGTGGGGCTTTACAACTAATAAAATACAAACATAGTTTAGTTTAAACTATGGAGCACATCGAACAAACCACTGTAGTCTGCGCTTCTTCAGCGGTGGAGGACCAGCCACGTCTGAACGACATTTGCATCTAGCTCCTAAACAGATTGCCAGACTCAAAATATAGGTGGGCTACGAATGATCACCGCCCGTACAGGACGACCCGCAGATGCCATTCACAACGACAGTGACAACCAAGGGCGCAACCGCTCGCTCCCCAGGCGCCCCAGATATTAAAACAGGTGGCGCGAACCAGCATCAGTGAGGAATGTCTCGTCCCTTCACCGTTTGGTGACGGCCCTCGCTTGCGACAGGGGCTGTCGCGTGGAGGTCACGAGTCGGAATTTGATACTCCGATTGATGCTCCTGCTGTTGTGGAGTGGCTCATGCAGCCAGCTATGGCTGCAGGGTTTTGGTAGTACATGTTTATGCCATTTATTGTGAAAATTCCGTCACAGTTCCTATGATTGCTTTTTCATTGCTTTCATGGCTTTATTTTGGTGATTTCGAAAAGTGTATTGGTTTAGCCATGTTTGTTGTAGTACAGAGTTAGACTGATGGCCTTAATCTAAGTTGTCTTATGGTTGTTGTTGTTTGACTTGCATCCCACTGGGATTTTTGCACACAGCGTTGGTGTATGGTGTTTTTTTCTGCAATATTTTGCTGTCTTTTCTTGGATTTTCTGTTTGCACTTAGTCACATATTCACTTTAAGATGTTTTTTGTTCGTGTTTTTGTTTTTGGTTTGATGCGGTTGCACCCGATTCAAGAGCCGAATGGCTCACAGGGCTGTACCTAATAAATGAACTTGAAACTTGAGTTCCCGAACTCGCACGCCACTCTGAAACCCGTGGCGGGCCGTTGCGGCGTTTTCTTACGTGCATCGTTGTCGATGGGTACCCTCCTGTTGAACACGTGGTAGTTCGTCGTGGCAGGGGGCTTTCGCGACCAATGTTAACCACAATAGAGGGTGTTTTTTTTTATTTTCTTGGGTAAGATTGCATTACAAATATAAATGCATCGTTAAATCCGCCACCACCCGACAGCTGATTAGCAAGAGGTTTGTCACGTAAACAAAACGTGCACAATTAGTTACTAGTTCAGCACTAACCGGTTGTTGCGTGTTGGAGAGTAAACCCACCACGACATTTACACAATCGACATCGTGACGTTTCCCTTCCTCATGTCACTGGTGGCCTATCCCCCCCCTCCTGGATCCATAATGTGACCCCCCCTGTCTGTGACCCCATCTGTCTGTGACCCCTCTGCCTGTGACCCCCTCTGACTGTGACCCCCTCTGACCCCCCTCTGTGACCCCCTCTGTCTGTGACCCCCCGACCTTTCTGAAACAGGGAGCTGCTGCTGTGGGGTGCCTCAAGAGAGTTTTACGCTCAATATTTTGCAAGCACAAATTCTTTGTTCCTTCCCTGCTTATCGGCAGCACACTTATCATTATATACTTTGTTTTAAATAATACATACTAAAACATACTAAAATGATACTTATATTGAACAGCAATAACGACAAAAATCTATCCCTGACCCAAATAATCCGTGTTTTATCGTTAATCACTCGTCCAATTAACGAATATCGAATCACTTGTTCAATTAGCGATTACGTTAATTACTTGTCAAATTATTGATCACCGAATCTCTTGTCCAATTATCGATGATTGTCGAATCACTTCTCCAATCAGCTATTATCGAATCACTTGTTCGATTGGCGATAATTGAATCGCTTGTCCAATCAGCGATTGATCATGAAAATCCGCTGCTGCGGGATATGCAAATGTTTAACATGAGACAGGGAGGGAGGGGGGAGATGGACGCACGGGGATGGATGGCCGTCGTGACGGAGACAAATCGGAGGTATAAAAGGAACAGGGCAAAGATGAGCCCTGCTCCATGACAGTGCAGCCCAAGAATATTGCAAAACACGCGCAAGAGAGATGAACACAGCGCGAGACGAGACAAAATAGAACGTAGGGGAAGTCATCCAGTGACGTTGGGAATGCGTCCAGAGATTGTGCCAGAGACTGCATTCAGAGCAGGGTGGGTGACAGTCTCCGGTCTGGCGATGTTGTGAACCCTGAGCAGCTGGCCGCCCGCTGTGGAGCGCCGTGGTGCAGTGGTCGTCTGCTTCTGCACTGCCCAAACAAAGCACTGCGTGCAAGGCCATGTTGTTGTTGTTGTTGTCCAATAGGCCACAGTGGGCACTGTGCCAAGGGCCTACTCACTCACCCAGCCACTCACTCACTTACCCACTCACTCACTCACCCAGCCATCCACCCACTCACTTAACCACCCACTCACCCACCCACACACTCATCCACCGACTCACTCACCCACCCACACACTCATCCACCGACTCACTCACACACTCATCCACTTACTCAATCACTTACCCACTCACTCACCCACTCACGCACTCACTTACCCACTCACTCACCCACTGACTCAAGCACTCACTCACTCAACCACTCACTCACTCAATCACTCACTCACTCATTCAACCACTCACTCACCCACTCACTCACCCTCCCACCCACTCACTCAACCACTCACTCACCCACCCACCCACCCACTCACCCACCCACCCACTCACTCACTCACCCACCCACTCACCCACCCACTCACCCACCCACCCACTCACTCACCCACCCACCCACCCACTCACCCACTCACTCACTCACTCACCCACCCACCCACCCACTCACCCACCCACCCACCCACCCACCCACTCACCCACCCACCCACCCACTCACCCACCCACTCACTCACCCACCCACTCACTCACCCACCCACCCACTCACCCACCCACTCACCCACTCACTCACCCACCCACCCACCCACTCACCCACCCACCCACCCACTCACTCACCCACCACCCACCCACCCACTCACTCACCCACCCACCCACCCACTCACTCCCCCACCCACTCACCCACCCACCCACCGACTCACCCACTCACTCACCCACCGACTCACTCACCCACCCACCCACTCACTCCTCCACCCACCGACTCACTCACCCACTCACTCACCCACCCACCCACTCACTCACCCACCCACCCACCCACTCACTCACCCACCCACCCACTCACTCACCTACTCACTCACTCACCCACTCACTCACCCACCCACCCACCCACCCACTCACTCACTCACTCACCCACCCACCCACCCACCCACCCACTCACCCACCCACTCACTCACCCACCCACCCACCCACTCACTCACCCACTCACTCACTCACCCACCCACCCACCCACCCACTCACCCACTCACCTACTCACTCACTCACCCACCCACTCACTCACTCACCCACCCACCCACTCACTCACCCACCCACCCACCCACCCACTCACTCACCCACCCACTCACTCACTCACTCACTCACCCACCCACCCACCCACTCACTCACCCACTCACTCACTCACTCACCCACCCACTCACCACCACTCACTCACTCACTCACCCACCCACCCACTCACTCACCCACCCACCCACTCACTCACCCACTCACTCACTCACTCACCCACCCACCCACCCACTCACCCACCCACCCACTCACTCACTCACCCACTCACTCACCCACCCACCCACCCACCCACCACTCACTCACTCACTCACTCACCCACTCACTCACCCACTCACCCACCCACCCACCCACTCACCCACCCACCCACTCACCCACCCACTCACCCACTCACTCACCCACCCACTCACTCACTCACCCACCCACCCACCCACTCACCCACCCACTCACCCACTCACCCACCCACCCACCCACGAGGACCGTGTTATCCAATAGGCCACAGAAGGCACTGTGCCTCTGGTCGACGAAAAAAAATACCCATGGTTTTGGTTTTTGATGAAAATGAACGGCATCCTTTTAAAGCTGCGTCATCCGATATGATCGTATGCAAGGTTCGTGTAGTCTGTAGGGTTTGTGTAGTCTGTAGGGTTTGTGTAGTCTGTAAGGTTTTTGTGTTGTCTGCACGTTTGTGTGTAGTCCGTAAGGT